TAAGCAAGTGGCTATGCCCCCACAGTGCAGTCTGAATTATGAAAGAAGAATATTAATATTCCGGTCATTAACCCCCCCCAAGAACGCATCAGGCAAAATGTTGTCTGACTGTCAAATACAACTGGCACCCATACATCACCTGAATATAGAGACCCTCTTAATTTTTCCCTTGAAGATGTCTCCCATTTAAAACAGATTCCAATGCATCATATAATTGGCAGCACTCGTTATGTTGATATGTCATGTTAAGTGGGATGTAATTACTTTGATTTGGGTGTAATTATGTCTATTTGCCAGGCTGACATAGATAATCACAAGTACATGAGGGCAAAAACAGGCCACTTATGTCATTTTCTTTGATCGTGTTTTTTTTTTTTAATGAAGGAACGTTTACACTTTGGAATATTGGATCCCATCAATGCAAAACCAACTAAGATGAGACCAAGGCAAAGGCAGCAAAATTTAATGGAAATACAAGCCAGTTGCAATTCCTGAATCAGATATTTTTTATCATCAGTTGCTGTATTTATGTAACACTGGGATAAAAACTAGAGTTACTAGAGATTTATTACACATTGTTCAATGCGTCAGATGCCTTGTTATAATACAGCCTAAACTATGACCCCTGAGATTGCCTAATAAAACAACCCATTTTGTCCTACCAGACTAGAAAACGTGTGAGAGTATGCGTGAAACTCATGCATGGGAAATGTTGTCTTATAAAGCAATACATACATGACACACAAAATGATGTGAATTCATATTGTTGCACAAGAGACTGTAATTCAACAGAACTGAAGAGAAAACACTCAGACAAATATCCAGGATGGATAAATTCTGTCAGCTTTTATACATTGCCGTACTGCTCTTAAACGGCACTGCACTTTCATGCTGATTAAGCCTTGAGGCTTTGGGCTATTTCGGATGATCCCCATCGTATATCTGTTCAAGGTAATCTTACCTTTCAATTACAGCATAATTGCCTAAAATAGAAAACTGATATATCATTGTCTGACCAGAAAAATCCTGTCTCAGATCAGAAACTATTCCCATTCCCCAGTCTGCAAGTGTACTTGGCTAGTATGGCCCTTCTCATGCCAAGTGGTATGCTACTAGTAGTTAAAAAGTTATAATAAACATTTCCATACACCAATTGTGCTAGCTGGATCGATCCAACTCTTCAGAGTTTCTCGCTCAATTGCACACAGTGAAAGTGGCTAAAATGCTGCCATGCCTACTCAAGCTGCTAGAGTGTAATTACTTATCCTCTTCGAACCATGGAGATGGATAGTTGGGATGCAGTTTCTTTCATTATCAGGACTACTCTGTTAATATGAAAACATTGCATTAAGTCTGTGGATATAACACTTTAAAAAAAACACAAAACGACAACTCCAAATTCGGGGGTAATTAACGATAGTCAGTCACCCCCTAGTTACTCAAGGGGGCGTGCCAGACAATTAGGCTGATTTAATTGAAAGCACCTAAGTGAGAAGTGCCACAGAGTTAGATCACTCCAACTAGTACGATGGGTTTATGGAAGGAAGTCAAATAGCTATATTGGTACACTTCAAAAGATTGACAGTTAAATAATCTGACTAATATGTTTAGGATCAGCCATAGAGTCACCAAATGAGAACTGCCCCTCATCCCACTGTTCCACATGGCCATTCAAATTAGATAACTATATACAGTAGAAAGTGAACTTTTAACAAACTTGTGAAAAAGAGTAGAGTATGCAAAGCCCCCTCTAAAGATATGTACTAGTACTAGTAAAGACCTCTTCCCCTGAACCATACTGCTCCATGTAAAATATACTTATGGCCTCAGTTATATGTTGGTAACCACACATCTTTATTGTTTTGTATAAATATGTCCCTGATTGCTTTCAACATGCAAAACAGATGGGTCCATCCTTGGTGGCGACATGCTACATCATTTACTGCATGAAAACCAATTCATGTCCCATGGTACTTATGCTGTCTGTCAGACTTAATATCCACCGAGGACTAAATATTCATTCATTTTCCTTTCTCTCACTGAGTAATTTTTTTCTGTGCCACAGCTTTGTTTCATTGAAACTGAAACCAAGTTTGGTGGTGTTGCATGTAGAAACGAATATTTTAATATTTTGACTTCATAAATCTGTAAGAATATCAATCTGTAGTAGTCTAAAAGCAGAAGAAATCATCTTTGAATCTTATCTTTTTAATTTAAACTTAGAAAAGTGATTTTTAATGAATGTAAAGGATTGTTTTTGATTGATTGGCACTTCATGAATTAGAAATACTTCAAAACATTTGAAACTACCTAAATTGTCAAAAAAAATTGAAAATGTCAGTTTACTAGATATTGCAAAATATGGCAATGGAGTTTGTATCCCTAACAAAATAGTAATAAAAAGAAAATTATATGTGAAAACATGTCGAATGCACCAGTCTTTTGAAATTCTGCAACTTACAAAGATTTACAACTTTAATTAACTTTAATTAGGCCACATTTGTTAAAAAAATTATATATCTGTGTTGGTTGTGACATTGTTGTGACATCATTGTCAGTGGCCTGTTCAGTCTATGGTAAATAAGACATCTGATGAAGTCTACACTTAAGGAATTGGAGATGGAACAGACTCTCTTGAATATAAAAAGAGTACACTTTACTGTGATCAGATGTTGAACTCATCCAGTTTGTCAAGGGCCCAAAATTCAATAGCAGATATCTGCCTAAAATCTTCTTGTCAAGTACCTGTACCTTTCACATTTTTTATGGAGAGAAGATGCTTTGTGAAGTAGAACCACAATAGCTGAATTATGAAAACTGCCTCGTAGACAAAAGCTACAAAAGAAATCCAATAACAGGCAAATTTTAAGCCATCTAAACGCTAAGTTCAGACACTCAGCTCTCTTTGTGATTAGTGACCCTGCCATGGAAGCAAGAACCGATGTGATCATATGTATTCGGAGAAAAATAAAACCCAAAGATTGCACATCCCTCACATCACATTGCATGCTGTAGATATAATGGGCTAGTTATACGTGCTCGCAGTTGTGGCTAAGGGGAAATCCCTGAATAATCAAAACTATCAGGATTAGAGTGATCTGAGGAGCAGCAAGCAGACAACTACTAGTAGAATTTTCAAATATTGCCAGAGTCAAATATCCAACCTGTTTGATGTTGAAATAAGACTTTATCAGTTTGGGAATGATATTAGGTCTCAAATGTGACTTTTGTCTAGGACTAATATTTTATTATACTCTCAGATCAGTTTTGGTGTTAATCTGATGTCTTCTTCAGTCTATACTAATGTCTCTAGGTGTCGTTTGTGTTGTCAGTGGTTGAGAATCTTGTATATATATTCTCTCTCTCTCCCCCCACCAGTGTAAAAAAAAATGAAAGAAAGTGACAAAAAGGGGATTAGAAAGACCCTGAGGCACACCAATAGAGAGGGAGGCAGATCTTCTAGTGCTGCAGGCGCAATGCTTGGAGATAATGGTCCGCCCCATCAAAATTCATTTCTATCTTGTTGTTTGTTGTAAGCTATTGTGTATCAGTCTTCTTGTAATTCTATTGAAATTTTAATATTTTAAACAATGTATGCTAGCTTTACATTATGGGTAACAATTTCAATAAAGAGTTCCTTTATTTTGATATATAGAATAATTTGTATCTCTGACTGTGAATAATTTTTTTTCTGGGAAGCCAACTCTCAATCAGCCAGTGGTTCAGATTTTAACATTATGAACCATGAAAACAAGTTGAATGATCAAGGCAGCTGACACCCTCCCCCAATAAAAATGCAAAAAAAAGTCATTTGTATGGTTTTTTAGCCTAATATATCTGATTCCACCCACCCCACCCACCTCCAAGATAACAAAACAAAACAAAAACAATCAACAAGTCACACCTATATCATCATACAAGCAATCAGTTTTAGAGCCCAAAGTTCAAAAAAGAACATTTACTCTTGACTGTGAAAATGTACACTGCAAATAATAGAAACCTTGCGGTTTTCTTTTGTGGTATGTGGGTGGATGGCCATTGACTCCACACACACTGCGATAGATCTTCGTAAATCAATTGGTGTGCTCCAAGGCGCTTATATATCCACAAGGTTGTAATCATTGTCTTGTTGTGTGTGTAAATGGATAAGAGAGTTTAGGAGCCCGGCTAGGCCTTGCCGCAGTGGTTTACTGTTGCTCTAGATCTCTTGGTTGTCCTTATCATTTGTGCAGAAAAAGAAAACAGTCATATGAAGTTACATGCAAGTAGGGATAGTCTAATGTTTACATTAAATTTGAGAAGTTGATACCGTGAAACATAAACACATGTGCATGCACACACACACATTCACAAATACTATTTTTCATATTATTTAACCAAATTTAATTATTTGTGATCTCTAGATTGTATGTCTTAGCTCAATGGAATATAACTGAATTGAAATATACCAATACTGGTAGTGCTTATGGTGAAAAATACTTCATCGTTGTGTTATGAATATTTACACATGATCATATATATTGTCAAATATATTATATGTACACACATTTTTACGTATATCAGGGGTTGATCCAGATATATTTACTGACAGTCTTCCAAATTATCTTAGTTGATTCATCCTTTATTTTTGACAGTCTTCTGACAGAAAAAGATAAGATGCCTGTCAATAGAAACTTGAAAAATTCTGAACATTTTCAGGAAGATTCAGGAGATGACCTTCATCTATATACCTGTGCATTTTATATCTATATACCTGCATTTCATCATTGTGTTATTAATATTTACACATACTAGTAATCATATTATCAAATATATTTTTTAATACACACATTTTTACATATATATCTATATACCTGTGCTTCATCATTGTGTTATTAATATTTACATTAATCATATTATAGAATATATTTTATATACACACATTTTTTTGTATATAATCTATATGCACAAATTTTTTTACATATATATATATATACCTGTACAATTTTTTTTTTCCACAGGTCCACCTCAAGTCCCAGTTGATCATGAATGGAGTGTGTGTGATATGGAGGGGATGGATAGACCTTCAGCGCCTGGACGGAACAGGCTGCATGGAATTTGATGAAGAAAGAGCACAAGTAAGTTTGGGAACAGGCATGCTGCCCTTTTTACGTCCAAGATTCTATTGTCTGTGTGGTTTTCGTTGCTTTTGTGATGCAGTTTGTGATGATTACTCAAAACTTGAGACTTTCTCTAGGACTTGTTGTTAAGTTTATCAAACCCTATTTAGGATTGCTTAGGTAAGAGATTAAAGGCCTGGAAGTAGGAGCTGCAGTTCAAATTTAAGAATAAAGTACTAGTAAGGGGATAAAAGCATTGGAAACTGCTAGTTAACTTAGATGTAAGATAATTCATGCATGTGCACACACACACACACACGCATGCATGCATGCACACACGCTCGCGCACACACACACACACACACACACACACACACACACAGAGAGAGAGAGAGAGAGATTATATACAAATAGTTTAAGGAGATAGGCATTGATAAAAAATACATAATGCTAACTTCATAAGAGCAGCAGTGTCCTTTTACTTTATTTGCCAACAACAGAAGTGGAAGCATGTCTCTAAAATGAACTGTCACAGGGACTTGCATATCTAGATCCGACATAACAACCCTTGTCACTTTTCCTTAACTCTGAAAACTCAGTATTACTTGACACTTGTATATATGTTGAGGCTAATGGGGGAGACCTCTCATTATTTATAAATTAATTATTATTAATCATCGGTTATTATTAATCAGAATTGACCTCGGAGTGTTCTTGGCGATTTATCACCTTATTATACTCTTTGTTGTAGGCTGCAGAAAGATACATATCATTGAATTAGGCCTTGTAAAATATATGGTCATTGATATGATAAATGGACTTTTATTGTTGTTGTTGAGGAGTGCCATATCAATTTAGACAGATATTATTTATGCATAATTATTGTATAGTTAGTTATTTGGCCTTTCCAAATTTTATATGACCTATTTTTGCAATGATGAGGTGCAGAAGTTGTTGCCTGGTGAACAGGGTGCAGTATTTTCCTCTTAGTTTAGTTTAACAAAAATGTTGCCTGGTGAACAGGGTGCAGTATTTTCCTCTTAGTTTAGTTTAACAAAAATGTATCTCTTCAGGCCATCAAACTTTAACTGCTGTCACATTTATTTAAATTGGGACAGAAATTAAGTTTGGTATTGCTCAGTCCTACTGTAAATTAAGAGCGCATTCTCAACGAATTAAGCCAGGCTTTACAAAGCCGGTGACCTAAAAATGGCGGACGTACATGAAAGAAAAACCGCCTAATCTTTTAATAGTCTCTCCGCCTCCCCACACGTCGTCCCTGCGGGGTACAGTAATTAAATCTCGGCTCCGTTCGCCATGCGGAAGCTACCTGAGAAATATAAAGTGTGCATGCTCATCAGTTAAACTCGTGGTGAAGAAAGCATGGCGGCTGAAGGCGATCGAAGGAAAAAAGCTCTTCTGTTCTATTATCTTTGAAAACAGAGACGAAAAAGGAATAATTTGGCCCGTAGAGCAGCAATGAATCGACTATCTACGGAGATAATATCACCAGAGATATTCACGGAAATATTAATGTTCGGAGCCGAGATTTAATTACTGTACCCCGCAGGGACGACATGTGGGGAGGCGTGTGAGAGGCGGAGAGACTATTAAAAGATTAGGCGGTTTTTCTTTCATGTACGTCCGCCATTTTTAGGTCACCGGCTTTGTAAAGCCTGGCTTAATTCATTGAGAATGCGCTCTAAGTCTGTCTCTGTCATGGGCTCTGAGCCCTCAGGGTGGGGGGAGAGCACCACAGTATTTGGGGATTTTGTCTGAGTATTAGTCAGGACAGAACACTTTACTCAGGACAGGAAATATTTGGTTGTGTCTCGATGAACCTTCAGAAGGTTCATTGCATGGTCCAAAATATTGCAGCAATTTCATCATTGTTTTAATTAAAGGGTTTATCGGGCAGAAGGTTCTATACTAACATTTGGACCAATGAAAGTTTGGACTATTATCATGCACACAAATATTCAGCCCTCCTCTTCTATCAGCATATTAGATAGCTTGTCCTAGTATCTGACACTGGAATCAGCACAGGCTCGCAGATAGTAGAGGTGGGAGTTTCCAGTGTCCTCGGAAAATCAGGTTGTGTCATTTGGATTCTGCTAGTCAAGTTTCACCGTGATTTATGAGGGTCGTATAAGGTTGACTTTATCAGTAGGTAATGAGTGCATAATGCTAGTGTAAGATCAACTACAAGGCTTATATTCACATACAGTTTGATAATTCAGTTGGATGTGATTTGCATGTTACTGGATAGGACATCATCTCCTTTGGAAAAAAAGTGATCTGAGTTTAGTATTGATGGTTATTCAGGGATGATGTTGAAAGGATAGGCTTTATAAATTTGTTTTCAGATCAGTCCAACTTTTTTGTGAAATATTAAAAGAGATCTGACTTAACCTGATTTATTATGTGGAGTTACGTCCCATCCATGTTTTGCAAGGATTCCAGATATGGCATTTTGCTGAGATTGTTGATAAAGTTTTATCCAGTTTCACAATGAACCAGAATATTTTGCTTCTTTTTTTCATTGCAAAAGAGAGAACAAATTAAATTGTATCCAACATGTAAAGGAATTGTGCGCCAGCCATCATCTTCTCTTTATCACTTCATACCACACAATTTGTCGGCTAAATTATCCAGCAATAAATTGCTGAGCATGTCAGTTTTGGTCAGGGTTAATAAGGACATGTGATGAAGGTGCTTAGCCTTAAGCACTTCCAGGAATTAAGAAATCAGTAACTATAGGCATTTAGCTCAGATAATATGGTTCAGTTCTTGGAAAAGATAAATAATAGACGCTGTGATTTATATGGGTAGGGATGGTATGGGTTTTGATACTTGTATATATGCCCTGTCCCCCATGTTTGAAATATTCATATTCATTATATTCAGTGCCACTTAGATTATTATAACTCACAGCTCTCTCTCTCTCTCTCTCTCACTTACACACACACACACACACACACACACACACACACACACACGTAAACATGCATATGCATAGTACAACCATGAATAAAATAAACATAGATTTTTTTTTTCAGCCTGTGCATCGTATCTTTGTGTCACAGTGTGTGAAATGAAAATAGACTCTGTATCATCCATAACCCCCACTTTCCACCCCCACAGCCTCTGTATCATCCATAACCCCCACTTTCCACCCCCACAGCCTCTCCCACATGTCAAAGTGATCATGTTTTTCGTGATTTTTTCCAAATGACTAAAGTACATACACACTTTGTCCTCATCATGTCATTATTGTTTCCTTTTGTTATCTATAGCATGACAGGCCTTTCATTGTCACAGAAAACTTTCCGAGGACACAGTTGTCACCTTTTGTGTGGAAAGGCTTTTCAAAAATTAACCATTATTGTTCATAGCCTCATTCATTAAGCGTATCCTAAGTGGTTAGATATGTGTAACTTGCCTATGTACATTCAGTTTTTTTTTTCTTTTTTAAGTGCACCAAAGATCTTTAACTGAAGTAGCAATGCTGCATTTATTTATATAGAAGAGTATTAAACAGAGCCTAGCAATTCATTAGCAGTACAAAACCCTTTTTCATGGATGTAGAGTACTAAGTGATAAATCTTGTGTATGCAGTTTTGGACACTTTTATAACAGGGCTTGAAATCCATTAATATTCATCAGCTCCATCTGCATTTTTTTTTTTTTTTTTTTTTTTTTTTTTTGAAAATCAGGCTTCACTAGATTAATAAGGCATAAAATTGTGGGAGTCAAAACATGGAGGGGGTGTTCCACAGACCCCTTTTGCCAAATTTTTTTTGTTACATGAGCCATTAAGAAAAGCTTGTTCCAGCATGAAACTATAGTTGGCTATGATCATACCAAGTTATTTAAACTAATTTAAAATCAGCAAAAGGATGGCATTGCAAAAATGAGGAAATGTTTCTTTATTATTTATATTTCTCCTCTTTTATTTTATAAACAAATTTAAATAACCATCTTCATTAACTGTGAAAAAAAATTGTAGCATGAGTCAAGACCTCAGTCCCCTGTTTTATCAAGATTTAAATACGGAATTACTCTATTATAAGGATAAGAATCTTGTTGACCTTTTAGAATAAAAGCATTTTTAGTAATTATAGGGTAGAATAAGATATTAACCTGACTTTCATTCTGGGATAATATTTGTTGGCTGCTAACACACATATATATCTATTCCACAGCTGGATATTTAAGAAAAAAAATATACATGCTACAGTGAAGTGTTTAATATAAATCCAGAAATGTTCTTGATATTTTAAAGTGATTTATATTAAAACAAGCCTACACAGAAAAGTATTTAGATCAAGAAAAACACTTACACCCCATTCCCATATGATGCTTAGATCGATCTAGCAGGATCGACCTATCTCTGAGGGGTTTCTCACTAAATTGCTTTCAGCTGAAGCAGCTGATATGTCTGGCACGCCTACTGAAGCTGCTAGAAGATAGTGAATTACCGCCTAACAGCTCCGGTAGGTGTGCCAGACATCAGAGCCACTTAAGCTGAATGTAATTTAGCCAGAAACCCCTCAGAGATGGGTCGATCCTGCTAGATCGATCTAGGCATTGGAATGGGTTCTTATTGAGCAATGTATCACATTGCACCATTGTATTTCTTAAGGTCAACAATCACCTTTCAAACTGAGGTGAATACCTGGAAGAAACTGAAATAATACACATCCACTGCTGTCTCTCACCTTCTATTTAAAGAGGATATATATGTGTTACAAGCTGTTGTAGAGGTCGCTGGTACTGCATGGCTACATCCAAGGTTCTCTCAGTGGTTACATCCAAGGTTCTCTCAATGGAGACAAAGAAAAAGAAAACATCGACTCTTAGAATGTATTCAGAACAGATCAATGGACTAACTGAACTGCTGACTTAGTATGGCTGACCCTGCTTAAAAGCAAGCCGCTGAATTCCCTGATGGTCTCCCTGCCTCCACATGTACCATTAAAGGGATTAAATCTCGGCTCTGAGGTTTAATTGCTAGGCCCCTGCAGCGATATCATGTGTGGAGGCGGGCAGACCATCAGGGGATTAGCAGCATCCCCTTCAAGTGGGTCGGCCATATTTAGTCTGCAGATATGTTAGTCCATGGATCAACTTGTTCCGAATGCGCTCTTAGCCTAGCATGTTCTCTATAATGTCTTAATAGCAAGATTTCACCCAGAACTGTGGTGTAGAGAGTAACATTGGCCTCTTTAAATGACATATATATTTCAACAAATGGCTTAATGGGTCAGTTTATTTTTACCATTTTTTTTTCTTTTTCTTCATGCATGTGTTTTTTGGTCTATCTTAGGTTGAAGACGCAACACTTAGAGAACAAATCGCACAGTACAACAGTCGGTTACGAGATTTTGAAGAAAGGCAGCAACAGTATCGTGACTCTCAAGCCCGCCAGGCCGAGGCCGAAGCTGAGGTAGTACAGGCTTTGTTACACTTCTCAGAAAAGAGGCCAGAATCATGAGATTTGCTTCAGTGTGATAAGAAGCAACATGAGCCTCCTCCAGAACACCCAATTAAGAACCCTGGAAGCTAATCAGATCCACTCAATACTCATTCAAGACCTCTCTCTGTGTTAAACTGAAAACTTCTTTGTATTACTTTAAATTGAGCATCTCTTGAATTTTGATTCTGATTTTGCTAGATACTGTCCTTTTCGTGAAAATTGTGCACATCTACTTTTCAAAACTTAAAAAAAAATCATGATCTTTATACTAAAAAATACCACTTGCTTTTCCATGGGATTATTTTTTGACTAACCCGTAAGTAGACTAACACAGTAGAGAAATATTCATCTTCTTCTCTACCCTTGTACTTTAGGCCATGGTGTTCTGGAGGTAGTGTCTCATCAGTTGTGCGTCCAGTCCCTCCTCTGGGTGAAGCCGTCAAACCCCTCTCACCCCAAAGGTTCATAGCTCCTTTTGATCATTGGAGCCTATCTCTTCTGGCTTAATTCAATGAACCTCTAGGATGAGAACCACCGGTAACAGGGTGATCACTCCCCCATTCGGTGGCAATGATGAAGATTTTTGGGGGAATTTAACTTCTCAGTTTAACGCCATGCAGCGCCATCTTGTTTCATGTCCTGAGCATCATCTTTTGGGCCGGATACCACAGGATAAGATGCAGTTTGATGTTAAACTGAGAATATTTTTTACTTTCATGGAGGGGATGATATGGACTAGATTGCCAGAACTCTTTTACTTCAGAAAGAAGAGATCTCAATAATACTATACACATTAATATAAATATATTATATGTTGTTGGAAGATGGTGTTATCTTTTTTCCACAGATGTCTAGACATGGATGTGTCTTTTCTTTATATAGTCTATAATGAGCACTGACATAGTGTGTTCTATATAATGTCCAAGTGGCAGTTTTGTCTTGTGGTCACAAACACGGAGTGGATATTTAACCTTATTATGGTGCTTTTTAAAGAGTAAATTGTCTGAAAAATTGAAAGCCAATTTAATGACTTGGTCATAACATATCTGTATGTCAGTGCTATATGTATTTGCTATTGTCACAGTTTTCTTTGTTTTCATGTCACTTGATAACTTAGGGTGATATTTTTATTTCTCTTGCGGGTCAGGAGGAGAACTGACTTAAAGGTATAACTCCGAGCAGCAACTTTAATGTTTGGAGTTCTGAACAGAGCTGCTTATGTAAATGAAAAGCATACCAAGTATGATAAAATAATAACATGTTTTTCACTCTTTTTTTTTTGCCAGTTTCTTAATCTGTAAATTAAAAAATCTTTGAAATGTTATTTTGTCATTGCTTCATGTTGAAATATATGTGGTCAATGTTAGTAAAATAAATGCAGTTCTCCTTTTTATAGAGAGATGAAAATATCTAGATTGTAATTTACAATGAGAAGTAGTCACAAGTCACAGGAGTAGGTACAAGTCAGGCTGATTTTCATTTTAGCATGTACTTTGAGGTTAACCCGACTGAAAAGTTAAACACAGCTTCCTGGTATAAATTTGGAACAAATAGTTAATTAATTTCATGAAAAGGTGCTGGGATAACAAGAAAGAAAAAATCCAGAATGTGTTGTTATGTCTGGTTTCCTTGGGCAAAATTCNAATGCGCTCTTAGCCTAGCATGTTCTCTATAATGTCTTAATAGCAAGATTTCACCCAGAACTGTGGTGTAGAGAGTAACATTGGCCTCTTTAAATGACATATATATTTCAACAAATGGCTTAATGGGTCAGTTTATTTTTACCATTTTTTTTTCTTTTTCTTCATGCATGTGTTTTTTGGTCTATCTTAGGTTGAAGACGCAACACTTAGAGAACAAATCGCACAGTACAACAGTCGGTTACGAGATTTTGAAGAAAGGCAGCAACAGTATCGTGACTCTCAAGCCCGCCAGGCCGAGGCCGAAGCTGAGGTAGTACAGGCTTTGTTACACTTCTCAGAAAAGAGGCCAGAATCATGAGATTTGCTTCAGTGTGATAAGAAGCAACATGAGCCTCCTCCAGAACACCCAATTAAGAACCCTGGAAGCTAATCAGATCCACTCAATACTCATTCAAGACCTCTCTCTGTGTTAAACTGAAAACTTCTTTGTATTACTTTAAATTGAGCATCTCTTGAATTTTGATTCTGATTTTGCTAGATACTGTCCTTTTCGTGAAAATTGTGCACATCTACTTTTCAAAACTTTAAAAAAAAATCATGATCTTTATACTAAAAAAAACCACTTGCTTTTCCATGGGATTATTTTTTGACTAACCCGTAAGTAGACTAACACAGTAGAGAAATATTCATCTTCTTCTCTACCCTTGTACTTTAGGCCATGGTGTTCTGGAGGTAGTGTCTCATCAGTTGTGCGTCCAGTCCCTCCTCTGGGTCAAGCCGTCAAACCCCTCTCACCCCAAGGTTCATAGCTCCTTTTGATCATTGGAGCCTATCTCTTCTGGCTTAATTCAATGAACCTCTAGGATGAGAACCACCGGTAACAGGGTGATCACTCCCCCATTCGGTGGCAATGATGAAGATTTTTTGGGGATTTTAACTTCTCAGTTTAACGCCATGCAGCGCCATCTTGTTTCATGTCCTGAGCGTCATCTTTTGGGCTGGATACCACAGGATTAGATGCAGTTTGATGTTAAACTGAGAATTTTTTTTACTTTCATGGAGGGGATGATATGGACTAGATTGCCAGAACTCTTTTACTTCAGAAAGAAGAGATCTCAATAATACTATACACATTAATATATATATATTATATGTTGTTGGAAGATGGTGTTATCTTTTTTCCACAGATGTCTAGACATGGATGTGTCTTTTCTTTATATAGTCTATAATGAGCACTGACATAGTGTGTTTTATATAATGTCCAAGTGGCAGTTTTGTCTTGTGGTCACAAACACGGAGTGGATATTTAACCTTATTATGGTGCTTTTTAAAGAGTAAATTGTCTGAAAAATTGAAAGCCAATTTAATGACTTGGTCATAACATATCTGTATGTCAGTGCTATATGTTTTTGCTATTGTCACAGTTTTCTTTGTTTTCATGTCACTTGAAAACTTAGGGTGATATTTTTATTTCTCTTGCGGGTCAGGAGGAGAACTGACTTAAAGGTATAACTCCGAGCAGCAACTTTAATGTTTGGAGTTCTGAACAGAGCTGCTTATGTAAATGAAAAGCATACCAAGTATGATAAAATAATAACATGTTTTTCACTCTTTTTTTTTTGCCAGTTTCTTAATCTGTAAATTAAAAAATCTTTGAAATGTTATTTTGTCATTGCTTCATGTTGAAATATATGTGGTCAATGTTAGTAAAATAAATGCAGTTCTCCTTTTTATAGAGAGATGAAAATATCTAGATTGTAATTTACAATGAGAAGTAGTCACAAGTCACAGGAGTAGGTACAAGTCAGGCTGATTTTCATTTTAGCATGTACTTTGAGGTTAACCCGACTGAAAAGTTAAACACAGCTTCCTGGTATAAATTTGGAACAAATAGTTAATTAATTTCATGAAAAGGTGCTGGGATAACAAGAAAGAAAAAATCCAGAATGTGTTGTTATGTCTGGTTTCCTTGGGCAAAATTCATTGCTCAGTCAAAAACCTGTTGAGGAGGTCACGATGTGATAGAGAGAAAAATAGGTGTGATACATTTGCATAGACTTTATACTCAATGACCTGTTTATGTACATTTTGAAAACATCTCCAGACAGAGAAACATGCCTGAGCTGCCTTAAAGCCACATATAGACCTCTTTTTTTTCATGTATTTATATTGGTCACAGACATTTTGTGGTTTTTGTGTTTATGCAATGTCTGCTTGGCGACTTAGGGAAAAGTTGCCGGTAGCAGGTTCTTGTACTGACAGTCATTTACAGTTATATCATCTCTTTTTTTAGTTTTCTTTTTCTTTTTTAATATCAATTTTGTGTTAATTGTATGGTGTATGTATAAAAGCATACTGTCTCAAACTCATGACACTAATAGTAATGCACAATTATTGGCGTAAAAGTATGGATGTATAAGCTCTCTCCAAGCTACTGTAAACCTGTTTAATGTACACAATTGATGTATATTCTTTATTATTATGTGTGTGTTGTGAGACTGTGATGAGATCGTTGTCTATATATATAAATATATATGTATGTTATGGAATAAATGCTTTTTTTGCTCTTTACACTGCTTTTGGCTTGTGTTGTACATTTCTTGCAACCCCCTTTTATCTATCTCATGCACGATATATGCATGTTTGGCCTTGTTCACACTGACTATTCCATTTGAATGTAAAATAATGTCATCAGTCCATATTATAATTGAGCATTTGATAGCAATAGATCACACTTGAAATTCTACTTTTGTCTGAAAAAGGAAAAATAGAAACGCTGCAGATTTGCTAAGTGCCGCCGAGAAAAAAAAAATGGACTGCCGACGAAATGTAACCAAATCCAACTTTTCTGTCAGAAGTTGTGTGAACATTGTCAAAGTACGTAGTTACAAAAATGCATGAATTCACGTGAGGGAAGGGGCTTACCATATCTTAAAAGGTTTGGAGTGCAAGGTTGGAAAAATAATGCTTTAAGGGCCAGTTCATGTGCCTATTTTGGTTTAACCCTTCTGCGGTTTAAAGGGCTCTTGGAGGCCCCCCACACGTAAACATGTTGCTGCAAAATTATTTAACAAAGTCATTAGCTTGTCACAACATGTGATTTGAGTCTCTGTGAAGAGCATTCTGAAGTGCAATGCACTAGTTGCGTCAGCAAATTGCAGTGAGAAAAAATTTGTCTTGAGAAAAAAGTAAGCAGAACTGCATCTGATTTAATGGGTCCTGCTAGGCCCTCCTTACAACTCTTTTAAAATCCCCATTTGAATGCCCTGTACCTAAATACAATTTATTCTTTTGAGAAAATTTAAGTTTTCTTTTATGTCATGACATTTTTTCATCATTCAAGTGTTATTTTTTTAAAACTCATTACACTAGATGCCCATAAACATCTGAATCAAAGTATGAGGAACAAGCAATCATAGAGTGAGTACATTTGGGAAATTATGTTGTTGTAAAGAGTCTCCGAAAAGAAAGAGGCAATGTATTGATTGAGTCCCAACAACTGTTAGGCCCGTAGCCAGCGATTTCTGTTAAGACTTTAAGATCGTTTATTTCATTTTGAGACTCTCTATACATGTGTAACCAAAGAATATTATAATAGGACAGTTGGAAAAAGAAAGAATTGTGCTCATAATGGCAGTTTTTATAATTTTATCATCTATAAAATTACAACATTTCTTTTGTGTCTTGAAAAAAAAGACAACTGATGGTAAAGGAACCTTGCACCAAAATGATTCCTTTAAATTGCTGAAAATAAGATGTTTTCAATTTAAAATGTGGTATCACTTCTCTGAGTTAAATTCATGATCTTTGTCAAAACATCTTTACTAAGTTGTGTTTTAACAACGTAACATAAAACCATTGAAAGGTGACTTGACTCTTAACTGCAATTCTAAATGTAAAATATACATGTAATTCAACTTTTTATTGCATTGTCAAAAACACTCCACATGTCTACAATAGTCTTCTTCAAGTGTCAGGCCTGGTGCAGGCATCGGGGCCGTAGCAATAGTCCGAAGGTTCATTGGTCCGAATATTCACTATAGAACCTTCGGACCAATGAACCCTTGATTAAAAAACCGATGAAAATGTTACCACTTTTCGGACCAATGAACCTTCGGACCAATGAACCTTCGGACTATCGAGACGCCCCCCAGGCATGGATGATCATGGCCCTCCACTTTCCTCTCTCTTCAGTCGATTGGATTGGAAAAGCCAAGTTTTGGCATAGGCCAATTGAAGGAGAAGATTTTTGCATTCAGCATGCTGATAACTAGTAAGCTTGGGGCCAAGTTTCACAAAATAAGTTTAGACCGATGGTTGGACTAAACTCGAAGTGCCAAACCCCTTGTGCCTTATATAACAAGAAAGAAATTGTTAAAGGGATAGTAACTCTTCGTATGATATCTTTACTTCACAATAAAAACATTGTGAACAACTCATAGAAACATAAAAATATATTCTGTTCTACCACAAAGACAGCAGTTATAGCTATTATTCTGATATCTGAGCTTGTCTTCAGATCACGTGACTTCCATTGATGGCTGTACTCTGTTATAACCTCTTAAGAGATTTTAACAAAAAAAACTAACTTTTTAGAAAAAAAAACAGGTACTAACTTTTAATGTTAAAATGGATTCATTAACCATTGGTAAGTATGGGAAAATTGTTGTTTATTCCAGGAAAATTCATTTTTTGGCCAAAACGAAGAGTTATTATCCCTTTAAGCAGTTATAATATAAGACTACAAGAGATTTATCTTAAATTGAAGCACACCAAATATTTTGGACTTAAAAAATAATAAGACCAACCTTCGGTTTAAATTTGAACATTTGAAAGTAGCCTATGAAATGCACTGGGTATTATAAGCATCGCTGTCTGGGGAACTAAGAAGGGAGAATGCATGTAAAATTTCTTGTATTGATAAAGGATGAATGAATAGTGGCACCACTCAAATTTTTTCAAATGGTGCTGGCACTGGACTTTGCTCAACTCTTTCTGTCAGATATCACAATGGAATTGCCAATGACAGAGAATATGAGCAAAATCCCTATGTGATGCCACTGATTTCACACCAAAAGCACAAAAGGTATTATGCAATTTCAGTGTTTTCATTTTGTTGTCTGTAATGCAGGAATGAATGACGTTTACTTATACCTGATATTTATTCCTCTTCAAAACAAGTGTAAAATTAAGTGAAAAGATATGTTTTTTGCTATGTTGATGTATATAGTTTTACTTCTGAAATCATAGGTAGCAGTTAAATAAAAAGGAAGTAATTATGGGGAAGGAATTGAAATCAATCATTTAGAAGAAAAAGACTGATGTCAGGCAAGGGTTCAAAGAAATCACACTTTATTTTTACCACCATGCTGAGTCATATGGGTTGTGAGCTCGCATTGGTTATGTTGCACTGGTTACATATGATAAAAGAGTTGTTGATTTTAAAGTACATAAAATATTTTTGGGCTTTGGATGAGGATAGGAGACCATTGTCCCTGAAGAAAGGATACGTAAAAAATGCACAAGGGTAAATATCACTTATGTTTCAATTCAGTTTAAAGTACTTCCAGTACTAATGTCTGTAGGGTTGTTATATCCTTAAAATATTGAAATTATTTAAATGGTAAAAATACAAAGATGTTTTTAAGTCACATGCTCCCTAAATAGTTTCAATTTTGGGGCACTTAACAGTGAAGGATTTGAGTGATTTGATATGATTTGCTGTGATATGACAATAGCTGTCAAAAAAAAAAAAAAAAAAAAAAAAAAAGCTGTCAAAAAAAAAAAGTATTTTTTAAAGTCCCTTGGTAGAATTTTACAAATTTTGATTAACAAGTGATAGTATAAACTGCAGAAAAAAAGGGATGGGAACTGTATTTTATTTCATGTTCTGGCATCAGGATTCTTTACCATTAATGGTTTTGACAGTGAATTAATGCAGACACTAAATGGATATTCAATTTAAGAGAAAATAAATTTTGCATTTAGTTCAATGCAGGTTAGAAAATGCATGTTGGATACAGCAATTTTGGCTTTGTTATCACCGCAAATGAATGGAGGCTGTCTTTTATTTCATATTTCTTTTGTCATACGANATACCACTTGCTTTTCCATGGGATTATTTTTTGACTAACCCGTAAGTAGACTAACACAGTAGAGAAATATTCATCTTCTTCTCTACCCTTGTACTTTAGGCCATGGTGTTCTGGAGGTAGTGTCTCATCAGTTGTGCGTCCAGTCCCTCCTCTGGGTGAAGCCGTCAAACCCCTCTCACCCCCAAGGTTCATAGCTCCTTTTGATCATTGGAGCCTATCTCTTCTGGCTTAATTCAATGAACCTCTAGGATGAGAACCACCGGTAACAGGGTGATCACTCCCCCATTCGGTGGCAATGATGAAGATTTTTGGGGGAATTTAACTTCTCAGTTTAACGCCATGCAGCGCCATCTTGTTTCATGTCCTGAGCATCATCTTTTGGGCCGGATACCACAGGATAAGATGCAGTTTGATGTTAAACTGAGAATATTTTTTACTTTCATGGAGGGGATGATATGGACTAGATTGCCAGAACTCTTTTACTTCAGAAAGAAGAGATCTCAATAATACTATACACATTAATATAAATATATTATATGTTGTTGGAAGATGGTGTTATCTTTTTTCCACAGATGTCTAGACATGGATGTGTCTTTTCTTTATATAGTCTATAATGAGCACTGACATAGTGTGTTCTATATAATGTCCAAGTGGCAGTTTTGTCTTGTGGTCACAAACACGGAGTGGATATTTAACCTTATTATGGTGCTTTTTAAAGAGTAAATTGTCTGAAAAATTGAAAGCCAATTTAATGACTTGGTCATAACATATCTGTATGTCAGTGCTATATGTATTTGCTATTGTCACAGTTTTCTTTGTTTTCATGTCACTTGATAACTTAGGGTGATATTTTTATTTCTCTTGCGGGTCAGGAGGAGAACTGACTTAAAGGTATAACTCCGAGCAGCAACTTTAATGTTTGGAGTTCTGAACAGAGCTGCTTATGTAAATGAAAAGCACACCAAGTATAATAAAATATTAATATGTTTTTCACTCTCTTTTTTTTTTTGCCAGTTTCTTAATCTGTAAATTAAAAAATGTTTGAAATGTTATTTTGTCATTGTTTCATGTTGGAATATATATGGTCAATGTTAGTAAAATAAATGCAGTTCTCCTTTCTATAGAGAGATGAAAATATCTAGATTGTAATTTACAATGCGAATTAAGTAGTCACAAGTCACAGGAGTAGGTACAAGTCAGGCTCATTTTCATTTTAGCATGTACTTTGAGGTTAACCCGACAGAAAAGAGTCTGAGTTAAACACAGCTTCCTGGTATAAATTTGGAACAAATAGTTAATTAATTTCATGAAAAGGTGCTGGGATAACAAGAAAGAAAAAATCCAGAATGTGTTGTTATGTCTGGTTTCCTTGGGCAAAATTCATTGCTCAGTCAAAAACCTGTTGAGGAGGTCACGATGTGATAGAGAGAAAAATAGGTGTGATACATTTGCATAGACTTTATACTCAATGACCTGTTTAT